CTAGTCAATTCATCTATCCAACTTTTACAACAAAAATCCATCGTACATCACATGGCAAATATCTTCTTTCCTACTCACTTCATCTCGCAATTTGTCGTCTCGCAAGGTGTGAGAACAGCCTGGGTACTGCTGACTGAGAACGTTCGACAAGTTGAATAAGGTATGCAATTTCTATGAATAATAACAGCATCATCTCTGGGTTTGACAAGACAACTGGAGGTACACTACTTAGTACAAGAAATGAGGAGAGGAATTTTACAATAAGTGTATCTTGAAAAGTTTTGCGAGCGATGAGTACAAAAGTCAACTCATATTATATGATACACCATCGAATAAGGGATTTACTGTTCCACTAATTTCTAGTATTTGGGGTTCTAGGTGTGGAAATACATCCTATGGCATCATATGAACTATAAAGGATCACATAAGGCATGCACCAAAGATGAAAACACCACAAATAACATCATTCAATTATTGCTATGGCTCACCTGTAGTGCATCGGTTCTAAAGGTTTCCCCGTGTTCTGTCCATGATCTTGTTGCTTCCCTGTACATTTCAACAGCTTCTGGCCACTGCAAAATAAAATATAGTGCTTTCACACACAAAAAAATTCACAGAGGCAGTGTGGCTGAGTGGTTGGGACCCTAGAATTGCGATCTGGTGGTGCTAGATTCAAGCTCTCCCCCTGCTTCTCACAAGATTAGTTCTGCGAAATGTGTGACATGATGTCTTCCACCAAGGACAAAAAATATCTTTCCATGCTTTCAGAATAGACCAGACTTCACCAATAATACACTTTATACAGTATTATTGTATCATCTTGTTGGAATTAAATACCATTTTCTGGTGTTGAATACACAATTTGTGGTCTGACTTTTTTCAAAACACAAAGTTTTGTTTGCAACATTTGCTTCCATTTTTTTTTGTGTGTTGGCCCTGAGAAGCCCCATTAGGGAAGTGGTCATTTGCATTACGTTACAAAACAAATTCAATTTGATGCAGTTTGGGCAGTTTTAAATCTGTTTACTAAAAAGCTCATTTCTAAATGGCCACAGTGATCTGCCATGAATTTAGCTTTTAAGTGTATGGTTTCCATCACATAGCTTTGCAAAAATATTGTATGAACTAACCTCTTCTTTTAAAATGTGAATGCCAGCTAGACCTGGAGAGCAACAGTAATTTATTTCAATGTTATTTTAACACAGGCACACGTGACACATAACACACACATAACAGACAAACATAACAGTAAAAACACGATTTGTGAAAAACCAAGATATCATGTACAAACCATTAAAAGTAAACAAGAGCTGTCGATGTGCTTCTTCACATTCCAACTTTGCTTTGGATATCAAACTCTCCAGCAGTTTATCCATGGTAAGAGTGCTATAAAATAATCATAATTAAAATCTGAAATAAAAACACTACCATCGTATAAGGTACTATTAAGGATATTACTGGGAAGTTATTAGGATGTTGTAGGATGTTGCACTACATTATTAATAGGATGTTATCAGGACGTTATTAGAATGTTATTAAGATGTTATTAGGATGTTATTAGAATGTTATTGGGATGTTGTAGGATGTCATTACAATGTTAACA